AGGAGCCCAAAAGTAACGACAGTTACAAAAATCCGATGACCCGCTCGGATTAGTAACATGATCTGCGGGCCCCATAGGGAGGGGGCTCCCGCCTGAGACTTGCTTGCAATTCACTGACAAACGAGGCTCCCGCCTGATACTTCCTCCAAATTCAGGTACAGGAATCCGATGACCCGCTTGGATTCGTAACATGATCTGCGGGCCCCATAGGGAGGGGGCTCCCGCTTGAGACTTCCTCACAATTCACTCACAGACGAGGGTCCCGCTTGATACTTCTTCCAAATTCAGACCTGAGGAGCCCAAAAGTGACGACAGTTACAAGAATCCGATGACCCGCTCGGATTAATAACATGATCTGCGGGCCCCATAGGGAGGGGGCTCCCGCCTTACACTTCCTCACAATTTACTCACAGACGAGGGAGGCTCCCGCTTGATACTTCCTCCAAATTCAAACCTGAGGAGCCCAAAAGTGACGACAGTTACAGGAATCCGATGACCCGCTCGGATTCGTAACATGATCTGCGGGCCCCGTAGGGAGGGGGCTCCCGCCTGAGACTTCCTCACAATTCACTCACAGACGAGGCTCCCGCTTGATACTTCCTCCAAATTCAGACCTGATGAGCCCAAAAGTGACGACAGTTACAGGAATCCGATGACCCGCTCGGATTAGTAACATGATCTGCGGGCCCCATAGGGAGGGGGCTCCCGTCTGACGCGTCCTCACAATTCACTCACAGACGAAGCTCCCGCTTAATACTTCTTCCAAATTCAAACCTGAGGAGCCAAAAAATAACGACAGTTACAAGAATCCGATGACCCGCTCGGATTAGTAACATGATCTGCGGGCCCCATAGGGAGGGGGCTCCCGCCTGAGACTTGCTCGCAATTCACTGACAAACGAGGCTCCCGCCTGATACTTCCTCCAAATTCAAACCTGAGGAGCCCAAAAGTGACGACAGTTACAGGAATCCGATGACCTGCTCGGATTAATAACATGACCCGCGGGCCCCATAAGGAGGGGGTTCCCGCCTGAGACTTCCTCGCAATTCACTCACAGACGAGGCTCCCGCTTGATACTTCCTCCAAATTCAGACCTGAGGAGCCCAAAAATGACGACAGTTACAGGAATCCGATGACCCGCTCGGATTAATAACATGATCTGCGGGCCCCATAGGGAGGGGCTCCCGCCTGAGACCTCCTCACAATTCACTCACAGACGAGGCTCCCGCTCGAGACTTCCTCAATATTCAGGCCTCAAGTCAGCGAGTAGTGATGATGATGATGATGATGATCGTTCGATGCCGATGATGGTGAGTGATCGCGGGATGGTGATGGTGATGCTGATGGTGGTGATGATGATGATGATGAGTGGGGAGTGATGGTGATGATGATGATGATGATGATGATGATGCGGAGGAGGAAGCAAAGAGGAGCAGAGGAGAGGGAGGAGGACGAGAGATCCTGCGCGGAGGGTGTGCAGAGAAAACCAGAACTCCACTTAAGATGTGGGGAAAAAAACATACCATTAGCATCCGGCAACCATGCCATTGTCACCAGAAAACCACAACATTGCCGTACGAAGACAATACCAATGCCACAAGAAAACCATGCAACTACCATAAGAAAACCATACGACTGCCATGAAAAAGCCATACGAATACCCAAAGACAACCGCACAGCTATCATCAAACAACCATACGATTGCAAAAAGAAA